ATGTTTATATGAACATGAGATAAAACATACTTTGTTTCTGAGAAAAGAGACTGATGAGGGGTTACATTATAATTCTGTTTTCAGGATTATATTTTTAAAAATCTTCAGTAAACAGATAGATAACTAAAGATCCAAGTCGTTGAGTTATTTAATTAATTGCAAATTTTTAAATCAACTGAGCTATATGAGGCAGTTGAAGTGTTCCAACCAAAGATGGACTTTAAGATGTACAAAATTTTGACAATTTTTCTGTAATTACTGAGATGAAAAATTGACTTTCAAGTTACAATTAGCCTCATTGCTGATTTGACAGTGCAAACCCCATACCTATCACCCAAGCTTATTATATTTTAAGCATTTAGAAGCAATAAGCAATATGCAAAAGGATAAGTAGAATGATATCCTGAGTAGCCCATTTATTATTCTATCTCTCTAGCCTCAGTGATTTTCTTTCTTCTTGATTTCTCCTTGTTCACACAGCACTGGTGAAACCGGGAACTTCAAGTCTAAGATCCATATCTTTCCACATAAAATAGATCATATTGTATTAACAGCAATTATCTGTTCATAAGAGAAGAGGAATCCTCCCTTTCAACACAGCCAAAACAGTTTTGAAATATTCTTGAAAAAAAATTAAATAGAATAGAATAAAAATTTTCCTTACTCTTTCTTATCCTCTTCAAAACTATCATCTCGCTAGTCTATTATTTAAGGATATAAGTAGATGTAGATACCTACATCCATGTTAGGTAAATCAAGATATTTAATCTAAATTCAGAACAAAGCAAATAATCAGCTAATTGTAATACAACCAATAATATTGTCTGAGAGGTAAAAATATAAGTGAATTTTTCCTAAGTAAAAGTGATTTGTTTTCCAAATTTTCCCCTTAGGCTGCCATTTAATGATATAAAATTTGACTTATAAATACATTGGAAAATAAGTTTTCCATTAAATGGACACAGCTCTTTTCAAGAAATATGTCATCTTAAACCAGTTTTCCCTGGGATAACTTTTTTTTTCTTCTACAGGTATTCATAACAGTTTTGACAAATAATTATTTCTGATATATAATATATTTAATAAATCAAGTTAGAAGGTTATCACAACTTAAATATCTGGACAGACATCATCTACCTTGGTGGAAGGCATAGTAGCATAAAATAAATCATACAGAAAACCAAATTAGAAGGGAAAAAGCAACTTTTGAGGGGAGTATGGGTCAGACGGATTAATAGCTTCTCTTTGCCATTTTTCCCCCTTTATAGTTGAAGAGAGTATGGGCTTAAAACTTGGAACTTGAAGAAAGCTATTTTTGTAAACTTCTAGGTTGTCTCTAGATCTATAGTATTAAAATCCACTAAATAAAAAACAATCTATACAGAAAGACTGTACATTAGTTTTCTCGCCAAGTCACAATTCTGGAGAGGAATCTTTGAATTTGAAAGGCAATTTCCATAGACTCTGCCAGATATGAAAATACACAATCATTATCCTTATGCAGTTTAAAGAAAATCTGTTGGTGCCAGTTGGATGATGTAGTTCACTCAAACTAAGGATTAACAAATCCAGCAGAATTGCTGAAGAAAGAGAGTTTGCTATCTTTCTGGAACAGGTCATGTGCACAGGTCCTGAGCTAGCTGGAATGGAAGGCAAACAAGTGTATCTCAAATTATGACTGGGAAGAGTAGAACAGGCTGTTGATTGGGGACAGCCCGAGGGTTCAATTACTTACCATTTTATCTCATTCTAATTAATTGGTGTTGATCAGTTTGGTGGCAAAAAAATTGTAAATTCCTAATAGAGTTTTAATTTATGTTCTTTTTTTTTTGAATCTAATATTCTACTCAGCGTGGTGCTGTTTATAGAACTTCCCTTGTTGAACTGTGGTTAAATCGAACTGTACACATGCTAATCTCTGAGAGAAAGCTGAGTTTTTTAAAAAATTAAAAACATCAATCATGCTAAAGAGTATTAAATGTGGTAGATCACTTTAAATAATAGGAGTTTTAAATCAAACTTCTATTTTGGGAATGTTGAAAAATATTTTTCTACAGTCCCACTTCTACAAAGACATTCTTCAGTTTGTGTTGGAGTCTTGTCAGTTTGTGTAGCTTACATTGGAGCCTAGTCAAATTCTTCTACACTTTTCCTGCATTTCTTTGTATAATGACCCCTCATTCCCCAAAGTCTATCTCTGTTGTTAATTTCCTGAGGATCGTATAGAATGCTGCTTAAATGAGAAACATCAGTACTAAGGATGTAGGCAATGCCTTAATTGATCAGATAAACATGGTCCATTTAGTTTTGCTTTAACTCAGACTTCAAAGTACCAGGCTGTATGTTTGCTTCATTTTGGCAGAAGCAAAAAGCCTGGATCTCTTCAGGAGGTAAGAAAGCTATGGAAATTAGGCATCTGCCCAAAATCTAGGATGAAGAATAAATACTGAAAACCCATTTTAATGTCTACTTTGAACTGAAAAGAAAAGGACTTACGAAAACATTTGAAGATCGGAAAAAGACAATTTCCAAGACCGTGAAGTTGAACCCATTTGACAGCAGAGAATGTGGTCTTGGGGCCACAGAATCTTGGTCTCCCTTCATTAAAGTCCCGTCAGCCCTATCGAGATGAAACACAGGTTCTAAATTCTCCTTCACTCTTCCGACTGCCATATGTTAGCCCTACGTATGGACTGACCTGGGGACGATTTATATATGCTTTTTGAACTTCTAACAGAGTCTCTCCTTTGAGTAACCATTTAAAAGAAGATTAAATTTAATTAGACTGTATTTTTTCCTGTGACATGTGCCTTCAAAGTCCACTTTATTACATTCTTCTATCCCAGCAGCGTACTAATGCTGTCAGGTGCAGGGCACCTTCAGATGCAAGAAGAAAGGAGGGAGATATTTATATACTCACTTAAACCCCTGGGAGTGTTTTAGGAATGGCTGACACCTGACATCCATGCCTGCCCAGCAACACTGCCCGAGCAAATGTTGCTCAGGGATCAATTGAAACATGTGACAGTTTAGGTGAGTAACCCAAGCCCTCCGCACACCTGCCCTAGCTAAGGGCTCACGTCCCCTTGCATTCTATCAGCTGCTTACACCCTAACTCCTTCTCTTGTGATGTTTCTCTTATTCTCTGAATTCATTGATAATAACTACACCTTGGTAGTAGTTGGTACCAACTCTCTTATGGAGAATTATTTGTTTTAACCTGAAACCTGGGTATGACTTACTTAATGATTATTTCAGACTCTAATCTGCTCAACTATGTTTATACATTTACCATACATAGCATCTGTGTTCAAACAGCATCTGTGTCAATGACATTAGAGGGATTGATGGGCAGCAAAGACCTCAATCCCTATTCAACAACTACATCAAGTCGAAAATCACTAGACTCAAGATTCAGTAATTTTTTTTATTGGTAGACTTTTGGGACAAGGAAATATGACAAAGAGAAGCAGACAGGGAACAAAAAGGTGAAAGTCAGCATTTACAGCCTGGTACTAAAGACTCATTCCTCTTCACGGGGAAAAGAAACGCAACTGCTCAACTGCTTTTCGGATGCCTTTGGTTAAGGCTATTGTTTCAAAGCACAAGTGAATGTGGTTTTATCTCTTCATAATTGTGTTCTTGTGACCAGGATGGTGTGGCATTTAACCAACCATTCCCTATGTGGCTGCATTTTTTTACAAAGATAAAGAAGAAACAAAATGAACAATTTTTTTTTAATTTTTTTTTATTTCAGTATATTATGGGGGTACAGATGTTTAGGTTACGTGTGTTGCCCTTGGTCCCCCCCCCCAAGTCCGTGTTTCAAATATGTCCATCCTTCGGGTAGTGCGCATTGCACTCCTTGTGAAAATGAACAATTTTTAAAGCAATGTCTTCTTCATCCTGGTGTATTACTAAACGATGCCAGAGCGTCTCTGGCATCACTGCTGGGCTGGCTGCTCCCTTCCCCGTGGGCCTCTCAGGCGTCCCCACCGCTTGGGCAGAGGGAGGCAGAAGGTTGTTTGTGGTTTTTCAGATTTTTCTTTTTCATTGGCATGACGGTGCCCGGCAGTCTAGTCCATTCTTCCCTTTTCACCGGCATGAAGGTGCACAGTCACTTAGCGAGAGAATGGCCGGCGGCTAAAGGGAGCAACCAGGAAAGAAAGGAGCAGCCGAGCCTGGCCTTTCTCTGTGGCCTGAAACTGCCTGAAGTTAATTGCTCACATAAGAAGAATAACTGGTGGTGCTGTAATTGAATTTTTATGGAAATAAACAGGTGGCAGATTTACTATAGCTGTGGGGATAGTAGGGGGTGAAATGCTGTAGCCACATTAACCTGTTCAATTTAATAGCTTTGGTACTCACAGAAAAAAAAAAAAGCAGTGTTGCTCTTTGACTCAGTTGGATGCCAAATGTAAATAACTACAATTACCCTAGCATGCCCATGTGGTTGAGCAAAAAAGGGCATTGTGCCAGCTTTGACTTGGTTTTCATGTTTATTAATTAAGCTCCAGGAAGTTGCAAAAACAGAAGCTTTAACTCACAAAGAACCCTGGAAAGAGAGTAAGAAGAAAGAATTTGGCAAGGAGAAAACAGACCGACAGACAGACAGACAGACAGAGAAAGGCTCTGTTTACATTGACGGCACAACACAAATCTGTGGGGGAGGTACATTGCAGAAGGGTCTATACTGGACACTTCCCTCGGAAGGATGAACTGAACGCTAGCTTTGCACCATGCTGCCTCCCAGTGGTCTAGCTTTGGAAATGCATTTTCATATTAAGCAAAGAAAAATTGGAGACTAGTGAAATATGTAAAGAACACTGTTAGCTTATTAACATACCTAACTTTTACTTTCAAGCCAAACAATAAAAATGAGAGTTTGTGTTGACATTTTTGCCGATTTTCCTTCAGGCAAAAGCATGTAATATGTATGTATATGTGTATATGTGTGTGTGTGTGTGTGTGTGTGTGTGTGTGTGTGTGTATCTCAACAGGGATTGAAATATATTTCAAAGAAAAAAATGATATTAATAAGAGATTAATAAGCACATACTATCAGGGAGGCACCACACTAGCACTGTGAACACTAAGGTCAATAAAATGTGGGCATCGTCTGCCAACTTCCCCAGGTTTGAGTGGTGGGCAGATTCCCAGATAAGGACTTTAAACATAAAACAGAGTTCGCTCAGTACTAAAAAGCGTACAAAGAGAAATGAGAATGAGGGTGAAGTGGAAAGCATCAGCAGCTCCTTTTATAAATTAGAAGCATTTTACATGTTATTTGAATCACCTGATCAAATACCTAATACTCAAGATTATCAAAACCAGAGGAATCCAGCCAACCATTGAAATTGAACTTGGAATGTTTTGGTTTTGTTTTTACTACTTTATTTTTTTTTTTCTTTCTCTCTTTTTTTTTATTTCAGCATATTATAGGGGTACAGATGTTTAGGTTACGTATGTTGCCCTTGCCCCCCCCGCCCCCTAAGTCCGAGTTTCAAATATGTCCATCCTTCAGGCGGTGCGCATTGCACTCTTTGTGTACGCATATACCGGTCCCCTCCTCTCTCCTCCCCCCTCCCCCCTCCCCCCTGCCCAACATCCAATAGATGTTAGTCTTATATGTGCATTTATGTGTTGATCAGTTAATACCAATTTGATGGCGAGTACATGTGGTGCTTGTCTTTCCATTCTTGGGATACCTCACTTAATAGAATGCATTCCAGCTCTATCCAGGAGTATACAAGAGGTGCTATAAGGAACAATGATGATACAGCACCTCTTGTTTTTACTATTTTAGATTAAGCTTAAGAAATGAGAGAGCCTGAAGGGTACTCTCTTTTTCTATCAGTTTTGTTTTAAGCCCATAAACCTTTGGTAAATCCTTGCTAAGTCTATCACACTGTACTGACCGCAATGCAGGGGCACCTTTACCGTAGATGCTGGAGTCCTTCAGTGCACGGTCCCAGGCTCTTTCCTATTTACTCTTCGTTTCCTCCATATCACTGACCTCACTTTCCATCTATGGACCACTGACTTCCATAATTATTTTATCTCCAAACCGGTTCTCACTCCTTATCCTCCTGTCTAATTTCTCACTCAATTTTTTCAGGTCTCTTAAATACTTTACAGATCCAAGATCATTGGCCCCAATTTTATTCTCATTCAGTATATATGACTTCTATATATACATGATATGTATCTTGCTATACAAGCCAGAAATGTGAGAATATTGCTTTACATATTCTACTGCCTTGTGCCCAATATTCAATCCATCACCAACAATGCATCACCAATACTATTAATATCACCTCCTAGATATCACATAAATCCATCTACCTATTTCCACATCCATACAACAAACTCTCACGTGCATTCCCACACAGCTTAATAACATATCTTGCCACTCTCTGATCATAAGCCATACTGCAACTAGAAAAGTCTTTTAAATATCTAATCATGATATCTTCCCTGCTTAAAACTATGTACTTGATTTCTCAATGTTCTTAAGACAGGAGAAAATACTGCAAGTTTGGCCCCCTGTCTACCACTCCAATCTGCTCTTTTGTCATTCTACCCCTCACACTCCACACTCTGGGTATACTGTCTTCCATTCAGTTCCCAAGCACATTATTCTCTCCCTCTATGGAGTCATTACACAGATTTTTCTGTCTGTGGTTTTTAACACCTACCTCTGCCTTAGAGCTCATCTAAAGTGTCACTTGCTGACTTTTCCCACCTTTCTTGTTCCCTCCTCCAAAAATCCCTACACACACACACACGCACACACGCACACACACACACACACACACACACACAACCAGGACAATAGGTTCCCCTGTAACACAAGCTCATGGAATTATCTTGAGCAGTTCCAGTCTAGTTTGTACCATTAAAATATTAGCACTACAAAAGCAGAGACCATGTCAAGGTTTGCTCATCATTGTACCCCTGACTCCTAACACAGAGCATGAATCTTGGTTGGTACTGAATAAATATTTGTTAAATGGACAGCCAGGAATACAATTTATAATCACTCAACATCTCCATGTCTTCTAAGCCTGTACACCTTCTGCACAGACTGAAATAGAGACAAGAAAAAAACATCAACCCAACATCTTTCATGCTTTTGCTAATATTTTTAATTTTCCTGATTCACCCATGGATGCAATATTGTTTGGGATTTAAGTACTTTAGTAGGTATGGACAAGTCCAGAAGTTTGGCATTTCCTATCATAACAGCTCTTCTTCACAGTTCAGGGATCCAGCTGGGGATTCTGCCAATTGCTTAGGAGACATATTCTACTTATGTACTCAGAAAAATAGCCACAAGACTGGACTACCTAGGGGCCAACTCAGATCAAAACTCAATTTATATCCTGAAGTACCATTTGTCATTCTGATCAGTAGAGACAGCGTGAGTCTCAGTCTTCAGGAATTAGTGTACCTCAGAGTTAGTGTTTAACAATATCCCAAAGCTCTTGTTATTTCCCTTTTCTGGGGTATGTTTACTGTATGCATTTTTACTATAAAGAACTTTATAGCTCCTTTGCATTCTATTCACATTCTATTGCATTCTATTCACATATAGCTGATACCTGGCATGAAATCTCTGTGTAGCCAGATTCCAGGATATATTTTATCAGCATGACCTGAAATGCAAGCAGTCTATTTTTGTCACAAAGTCAAAACAATAACATTTTGTACCTTAAAATGTTTATATGAAAGTTGACCCCTAAAAACACATTACCCTTAGAATGTAATATCAATGTTCACGATGCTTGCTAGGTCATTGGTATAAAAGATCAGTAGCTCTTTGGAGTTCTTTCTCTAAAATGATAGCATTTCCTAGAAATTCTGAATAAACCCCAAGCAAAGAATAGGCAAACCAGATTAAGAACTGTTTATCTGCAATACTAGTAAATAACCACAGATTGTTTGCTGAAGGCTAGAAAGAAGATTTATTGCACATACGGGTGATATTATTGTTGAATCCATCATCAAAGAACTCTTGCTTATGGAACTAACTCAGGTCTGAGAATTGGCAGAGGATGAGCAACTCTCTGTAATAGTAACTTATGCAAGACCTGTGCTTCCCAGTCGTGGAGTGTTTTCCATAACACAAATCAAGAAGGACTAATGTACTAGCACATGATTCAGTCAAGGCACCCGATGATTGGCCAAGCACTACCAGAGATCCCTGTGATTCAGAACATTGTGATGGATGAGCTTGCCCTTGCCCTGCTGGTTATTATGACAACCACTATAGTTTTGCCTCTTAACTCTGAATACTGCCACTTGACCTCTGCTACCCTAGAATAGTTTCCTCCTCGTTTCTACTGGGGAAACCACTCCAAATGAGGCATCTGCCACCAACGTCCCCAGCCTAGGAAGAACAGTAGCACAAACTCTTTTCAAAACTGCTGCCATTCCCCTCACCAACACGTTTCTCAAGACCGCGATAGAGAAATTATCTTCTAGACCCTTTGAGGGAATAAATTAGGGTAAAGGTAATTTGAATATGATAATTCCACCCCAGAATACTTGCTACTCTTTCCTGTATTATATAAGGGATTTCTAGGATCTCAACTTCCCTGTCTCAAGCCACCAATGAACCCAAATTATAGTCAAGCAAATGAACCAGGAATCAGACCCGTGGCAGCCACTCTGGGTAACACTTTTCATACAAAAGCTCAGATTGATACATCCGTCCTTTTGTAAAATTATACTTTACCTATCCAAGGTCAATCACTCTCAGGAATCATTATCATTCTTACACATGGTCCCAAGTTTTGTTATTATAAAATGGAAGAAGAAAAAAAAGAAACCTCTCCATTCAGGTTTTACAATGCAATTGAATTCTCTGGGCTATGATGGGATCTAACCACTACTTAGAAGCTCAGAGATAAGAGGAGGTTGGGGATGGGGCAGTTGGTGGTTCTGAGTAGTAAACTGATTCTCCCTTGCAAAGTCAACCCCTAAGGAAAAGGAATACATCCTCCAAGCAAGAAAAGACAGTCCTATCAAAGAAAGGAGAAGTACTTCTGCCTTTCCCAAGAACAGTAATGTGCTGGCAAATGTTTAACAATCCACTCTTCAGCATGAGAGGAAGCCTTGATTTGTAGCATTTCAAATACTTCTACTGTGGCTGACTTCAAGTTGTCATCACGACATCACTGACACAGAGTCAGAGAGAGATAAATGCAGTTGGCTCTCATGAGCTAGCAAGAGCTGGCTCCGGTGCACCACCACAGAGGGGGAGAAGACCTTTAAGTTCAAATCTTTGAAATCATCTCACGTTGTCTGATCCTGATACTTAGGATCCCACGCTTTTCTGACCATTGCTCTCACTTCCACGTACAAGAACCTACAAGGTCGTAAACTTGGCTGCTCTTACCATTTGGCAGCTATAACATTAAACTTGGGAGTTTGATAATCGCCTATGTGGAAGTTGAAAGAAGCTGAGAGAATTGAGAGTCTTTTGGCATTGTTAGAGTTCTGGAGATTCAATCTTTGCCGTAATTGAGAATTTAAGGAGATTAACTTATCATTTACCTTTATTCTTCAGCTATTCAGTGCTCTCAAAATAGCCCCTGCATCCCTATAGTCTTTTATTTCATATTTTTAAAGACAGTGGCAACTTGGTTTTCCAAAAGCCTCGTCTTGAATAAGTATTCCGTTCCAAGGGAATTTTTCCTTCCAGAGACCAGAGGGCGTGTTTAATTAGCTCTTTCACCACTGCATGCAATGGGCTGCCAGAGTCCTGTCTCGGAGGACTAATAGGATTTCATTCTTTTTGCCTCTAGCCAGAAAATCAGTCCTACATTCTTATGTCTCACTCCACTTTTCCTAAGACTCCATTACATTAAACCCGTACTCAGGTACCATTTTCTGTAACGGTGAGTTTTTTAATTCAAAGAAAGATAAACCAAATATGTTTCAATTAAGGCAAAGATGTTAGTTAACTCATAGGATTATGTGAAACTTAGAAAATGAGGCTCAGAAAGTGTTAATAGGTGGGATCCAAGGGAAACATTACATAGAAAAGTCTAGATTGGGACACTGAAACTCTACAGCCAGCACCATCCCCCCGTCCCAGTCTCTGCTGCTGCCGCTGCTGCCGCTGCTACTATGGCTCTGTGAATAATTTCTCCTCCGTCCCCAGATGGGACCATCTGACTGCCAAGCCAAGACTACACGCCTGTGTCCTCTCTGCCTGGATATAGAAACACAGAGCATCTGATCTCTTCATCCCTGGACATAAAGCCCTACCTCCCGCCAAGACTTGAAAACTCTATGTAGAAAGAGTGTTCAGATGCCCAATAGTCCAAAACTATCACAATTGCACTCCACAGATAGGAATTATGGCTTTCACAGAACAGCTTCAAAGAACGAGGGAGCAGAAAGTGAGACTACAATAGAGAGAGGAGTAAATTAAATGAAGAACAATAACAGGAACTGTAGACTAATCGTTCAAGAAGTTTTTAGAAACAGAAGAGAGAGCAGCGTGAAGGGCAATGCAGGTGTGGAAGTCATGCGTTGTTTCTTTTCCTTTATAAGGGGGCAAATGCAAGTCAATCAGAGGGTGCACTATGAGAAAAAGGCTGGATATTTCAGGGTAAAATTAAGGAAAACACGTGTTTGGATTAACTTTATAAAAGAGGAGGGTAACTATTTTCTGAAATAGGGGAGAAGGCAAGAATTAATGAAATAATGGTATTGTAAATCAGAGGGAGCCAGGTTATAGTTATTTACTAAAGGAGATCAGGCAGCCGTGATCTTTTCACTTTAATAGGACACAAGAGCAGTGTCCAAAGTTTAAGGAATAAAGCGGCGTTAGAAACCCAGGCTGAATGAAAAACATTTAGAAAAGCCTCTGTGAAAAGTGGTAGTGAACTACTAGTGGAATTGAGGGCCATGTCCTATCTGAATTCCTAAAAAGCCGTTTAATAGTAGTCACTGATGTTGGGCTGATAGATTTTTTTCCACTGGGGAAAAAACGCATATGCTAAATCCAGCTTCCCCAGCCCTAGTAAAAGCCTTCAATGTGATTATACAAACAACAGAGGCAGACGATTTTAGCCACACACCCCCATTCATAAAATGCACAAATATTCACCTTCTTTTAGTTACAGTAAGTAGAATAAAATATTGCACAGGGCTGAAATGATTGTGACAAATGATAAATGAGTACCAAATACAGCTGTCTGTGGCAGATTTATCTGTGGCTTTGTGGTGTCTTTGATGCCTAAAGGAACTAGAATTTAACCACCCATTAAGAGTCCAGATCAGGTCTGGGATTCACCTTGGTCTTTTGAGGTTTGTCCGTTTTCCACAGAATCTTCCAGATGCATTTTTATAATGATACTATATCAGGCTACCGAGATCAACTGCCAAAGCCCAATCTGCCACAGGAATCTTCCTAGAAGAAAAGAATGTTTCATCGGAGACAGTCATTCATCCTAGCCCACACCTCTCCTGCTTCTGATCTTCCACTGTTAAAAGCATAACGCACTGGAGGAAGATTGTGCTATATTTCATGAGTGCTCTGTGCCGCCACCAAGGGACAGTCCCATCTGTTATTTGCTCTCAGCTTTGCTTACTGATAAAACAGGAAGGACAGCTTGCTGATGGGCTCTTTGAAGCAAATGGATTCTCTCTTTCCTGCAATTAATGTTTATAAATTATTTCTACAGTAGACAGCATGTATGGTACCATGATTTCAAAATTAGTTTCAATAAATTAAGGGCCTGCATTCATTACAAGAGGAGCTTGATGACAATGCAACTCATGGGGTTTACTGTTGCACTCTACCTTTCGTGAAAATTGGGGCATGAAATCAAACACTCTCATTAATTCTGCTGATTATCAGCCCCTCGTAAGAAGATCTTAAGATCGTATGTTCAGTTGTTGAAATTTCGTCTTATGTATAGGATACGATCGAGTTCTAATTTTTCACAGAAAACAGGATTCTGAACACTTCAAAATTTCAGAGACTTGGTTAATAGCCTTTTGGCTGCAGCAAAGGGAAATGGCTTATGAGAACAAAGCACAAATATAACTGAAGTGATTTTTTTTTCCCCAGAATTATTCTGTTGTTTTAATCACACCATTCTTAGAGGGGAGAAATAATTGTATATTTTATAAACTCTGCACTGCTTTAAAGGGATTTCCACAAACTTAGAAGATGAATCTCTTTTTCTAAACTGGAAAACATTCTTTTGATTCAGCTTTTCATGTTTCCTTTCTTTCCCTGGCATATTATCTATGCATATTTGTCTGTGTTTTCTCTATAAACTAAGTATGCTCTCAAGTCAGAAAATAGTATATTTTCTTAGGAAAAAGTGCCCATGACATTTTTATTAGGATTGCCACTTCTAAAGTTTCGGGCTGGGAATTTTAATTTCCAAGCAATGCCAATCAGTTTGAAGTAAAGTTGTCCCTCGCCATCCATGAGGGAATGATTCCAGGACCTTCTCCGGACACCAAAATCCATGGATGCTTGAGTCCCTCATATAAAATAGCATAGTATCTGCATATAACCTACACATATCCTCCTATATACTTTGAATCATCTCTAGATTACTTATAATATCTAATATCATGTAAGTGCTGTGTAACTAGGTGTTATGCTCTGTTGTTCAGGGAAAAGTTATAAGAAAAAAAAACCACCTGCACATGTTCAGTACAGATGCGATTTTTTTCAGAATATTTTCAGTCCATGCAGAACCCAGGGCTCCTAAGGGTCAACTGTGCAAACAAGAAAAAAATGGAATGTGATTTCTAAAGATACCAGGTAGACAAAAAACGCCTTTGAGCAATGAAAGACTCATTAAAAGACTCTTAAAAGCCCAAAGAGACAACCATCACTTTATCCTTGTATGAGATACATAGAGAAATAGCACACCTGCAAGGAGGGAGGATCAAGGGAGAAGAGGAATACCAAGATTTCTAGCTGAAAAAAAATAATACAGCATTTTACCTGAAATACCAACTCCTTAGTATATATTAATAAAAATGAAATGAAAGAAAAAATTACTGGGACATGGAAAAAGAAAAATAGACATGAAGCCTCCCCATACCATTAACAGATGTATTTAGGAGAAGCAATTTTATAATAATGCAGGCCAGCGGTATTGCACTCTCTGGCATTTCATTTTATACTATAATAATCTATAGAAAACATGATCTGTGTTGCTTGTGCTCATTACACCATGAGAGTAAACTAGAAAGCATGGCAGACATCCAAAAACTACAACTAATAGTACAATATACAATAAATTAATTTTTTAAGATTAACTTTAGTGAAATTTGAATTGCAATTTTCTCTATCAACTCCATCATTCAATGAAATGTGAGACAAGGCCCCTTTGAGACCACACACATTAAAAAAGAGTGGAAAGAATAAAATATTCAGGGAGGTTTTAGTTATGATTTAATCTGGTATATTTATTTATTTTTTAACCTTCCAGGTGCTCAGCCATTCTTGGGAGATTGAAGTGGTATTAAAAACAGCACTGAATAAGTGGAAAAGTGATCAGAAAGCAATAGAACACAGTTATGAAGAGACGAAGTTGAGTCCAATTATTTTTTTAAAATGCCTTCAGTAGGATTAAAAGAAATAATTACCAGCAAGGTAATGATATTGTTAAAAAGAGCAAGAAGATTACTGGCCTATGTGTGATGAATAAGACCAATGAAATAATTTTTCTATTGAATTTAGGCATTTCTCTTTGGGGAAATTTGAATAAGTTGGAAGCCATTGGAAGGATTAAACATTCAGTAAAACGGTATGATCAAATTATATTCCTTAAATCATCCAGGTGATAGAAACATTCACAGAGGTTAGAAGAAAGAATAGTATAAGGTATAAGACATATTTTTAAAAAAGAAGAAAAGAAAAAAACTAACATGCATTGAACTTAGAGAATGTCTACCATGTAACAGACTTCAGCAGGAAATATTGACTCTGTATTTTAAGAATTTCTAAGAACACAGTCGTTTTAAAAAAAATTGAGAATGTAATATGAGAGACTGAAGTCAAATCTAGGGAAACATACACAGAACCTGAAAGACACCAATCTTTCTTCTAGTCTTTATAAACACTTGCACTGTTACCTGTTTCCATCAGTTTGATGCCATCCTTCTTACTGGTCTATTCATGATGATCAGTCCTATTATTATCCCTATGATACCATTTGGAAAACAAATGTATGTGCTTAGCAAATGGACCAAATCGTGAGTCAATGCCTTTTGCTCCAGAGTTGGCAGATTTGGTTACTCCTACACTTAACTAGTCAATGTTAAGGGGGAAAAAATGTTCTTTTTTTCCTTTGAAGAAAATTAAATGCCTGTTTTCAGTGAACTAAAAATAATCAAGGCATCTACTATGCAATTTTTGTATGGACGTTGACCCATGTTTAAGGTTGACTAGGAAGATATAATCACTGGCTACTAAGAACAAGTAGTTTTCTTTTCATACGGAATTTTTAAAGTTTCTAATGCTTTATTTTAGAATTTTCAATTTTCTAATGGAGGGACATATGGAAAGTAAGCAGCATAGGGCTAATATTCAGGAGAAAGACTAAATTCTTAAAGAAAACATCATGGTATGTGACTATAAAGGAACAAAGTTGTTTACGCATTAAAACTACCTAGCATTCAAATGGCTATTTTTCTTCAAAGTAACCTTCCCAAGAAGCTATTATTCCAGTGATAACTTTGTTCTAAGTGTTTTGAAAACACCACTTTTGGAATTGACTTTGTATGCATTTCCAGTTATACAAGAAATTTGGCACTAAATTCAGCTTTGCCATATCCCATGTAATAGCTCGAATTCTGCTGCATCCCCCAATATATCAACATTACTTTTATTTACTCAGAATATTTGCTGCCTCCTCATTTCATTCGCAGAACCATCTAATTAAATTGAAGGATTAAAAAAGAAAAAAAACATCATGGTGAGAACTACTAATTTAAATACACATGCATGATCCCTATAATTTTGCATCATAATGTCCTAAAATAAACTACACGGGTGGTCGTGAACTAACCCACTAATCCACTCCTATTTCACTACTGATTTGGTTACACGCGGATACATGGTATCAACAGATAATTGTTTAGGAGGAAAAGTTGCCCACACACCCCAGCTGCAATGTCACAAGCTAGTTAAATATATTTTGGTGCTCAATTGTCACTTTAAGCCATCTCAATACTAGTGCAAATTCTGCAGCCAGCTTGGAACTATTCCTTACTCCTGGCATAGTTGTTTGCAATTCAAAGAATGGTAATGTTCCTCCATTTAGGAAGGCAAAAATTTAAGGATCAAAACTTCTTAAATTATAATCTCCAAGCTGAAAAGTACCTCTCATTTCTTATCATTATGAATAAATTATTTGTTCTTTAAAAATTGTTAAAATATTGGCTGATGGAGTGGCATGGCAGATTTTTTAAAGAAAAAAATAGCAAGTACCTACAATGTGCAGTGAAGTATAAAGATACAATTCCTGTTTTGTAAAACATTAATAAAGTAAAATGGCAATATTTAATATGATAATCCCCCTCCAAAAGTATCATTGCATTACTGTAATTATTGTTTTCAATAAGACCTATTGCCTTAGAAGGGATGGTGGCAAATGTGACTAAAACAGGTTTGTAAGCTATTCTGTGCTCTATTAATAACATAAAAATTGTTAACATTTATAGAGAATTTCCTATAATCCAGACACCATGCTTAGCTGTTATATAATCTTCATCTCAGGCCTGTAAAGGAGGCATTATCAACCTTCTTTTAAAGATAAGTAGACTGAGGTTCAAAGAGGTTAATAACTTGCTCTTGGTTTCATCTCTAAGAAGTAGTAGAGCCAAAATTTAAACCCAAGTCTAACTTTGAAGTTTGCATTCTTATCGACTATTTCTGAGAGTTTAAATTTCACTTATCCTAGCTGTTGAAAGTTTAATAAAAAAAAAAATCTGTCTCTAGGAGTTGAAATGTATAAACTGTTGTATATGACAGCATCTATCAGCTAAAGAAACACAATTTAAACAATGTTTAAAGCTGAATTTAAACTCCACGTCCTATTTCTCATTTCAAAACTGATTAAATAAATTTCTTTCCCTGCTGGATTACCACCAGAATGGCATATGATGTGTCTGGAATCTATTGTCTAGTCCCAAACGGCCAGAGGACAAGAGCTTCTTTCATGTCATTTCTAAGCAAAAGCTGAAAGGCCAAAAATCACTGAAGAAAATTTGCTCAGGTGAGATTTTCAGTTCAATTTTGTTCTCCCTTGAGGTTCAAACAAACTTCAGATAATCATCTTGAACTTGGTGATGAACCAGACTCTGACTATGGCTTCTCAGAGGGTCAGCCCTTCCATTTAGAATAAGGCAAAGCTTAAAGCGAGAGCCAAATGGGGTCAGATGCTCAATACTCGGCAAAAGCCTCAGCTGTCGCATTGAAACAATGTTGACAACATGGCAGGCTTTAAAATAAATCCCCTGTGGAGGCTATTGATACCAGGCTCGCTTTCCCTCCTGTCTCCAATCCAGCCTGGCTGCTTTCTGGAAGACATGCCAATCATGCACAGCACTTACTAGAAACCGCAAGACTGAACAACATGCCGGTATTTATTCCAGCAACAGGAGCCAGTCCAGGGCACACACCTAAGGCAACTTCCTTGACTCCCCAGCAGAAGATAATGCATGTGGACACACATGTGCCCAGGCAACCAGAAGGCAGCTACAGCCACCACAGTTCCCCTACCCAGCAGTGAACCCTTTCTAGTCAACTTTACTGAAGAAAGTGAGAGTTGAACACCATGAGTTCTTGTCCTAAATGATTCATTTTGGCAACTGCTTTGAGA